TCACAGGGATCCATTCGGATTGTTTTTGCTTTGGGTTTTGCTTTGGACCGACCCTGGATTTTTACAGCAGGGGGCATGCGGCCATCACGCAAACGCATGCCAACGAAGCTATGCGTGATGGTGGAAGCCAGGTCTGATCAACCTGGTGTACCTGCTTGTTTGAACTGTTGCCCAAGCTGTTACTCCAATTCTTCCTGTAAAGTGCTAGTGAGTTCTGCAGATGTGCACGACCGCCGTCACTTCGACCGGTTCGTCGTCTCGTGGCTTTGGAACTTTGGCCTTTAACTAAAGGCGCTCCGGCCCCTCACCTGGTTTTTCAGGATTTGGGTTTCTTAGGCTGGCGTGTGGCACCGCTGTCAAGTCAATACGCATATCCATAAGTGTGTCACAAAATGTCGTAACATGATGTCCTCGGGATGGTTTTTACTGGGAAACTCTGCGGATGTTTTTTTTCCCACGAGACCACAATAGCTCTCATGTACTTGAGTGACCGGCACCCGCTTCGGAACTTGGTTCCGGGTCGCACGGATGAGAAAGGTCAGGTCGAAGCGTTGAGCAGGGTGTTTGTACCCAACAAATTCACCCCACCTAACCCAGACACTCCATGGGACTGACATATATGCCGCCCCATTGGGGTGGTTTCAGGGGTCAATGTAGGTAAATATGCCATACATGGAGTGTTTGGGTGTTGGTTCGTGTCTGGAGATCCGGATTGTGTTGGTCCGAGTCACGATCCCAAACCTGCGACGAGTGTTGGTCCCGCTGCCGTAACTGTTACGGCTTTGATGGCAATAGACTCAGTAGACATCAAGAAACAATATTATACCGGTCATGTAAAGCGATAGAACATGATCATCATGAAAGAGACTGATATAGATCCTCCTCAAAGAACCCCAAAACACAATCATTTGAGTGGGGTTTTTTACATTTCCCCCTCTCTTTGACCGAGCCTTCTAGCGCTTTTCCACTGTGCCCAGAGCTGCCTGGCTTCAAGCCCGCGAGCGAGAGAACGAGATGAAGGCGGTCCAGACCGACGCCGACACGACACGTTCCGAGGCCAAAGACCCTTTGGATTCGCCGGACCACCGACAGACCCGGCGTTTCTTTCACTTTAACCTGCCGTGATCGGGAGTGGGTCGATGACAGTCGAAGGGTCATGGAGAAATGGGGATTTGAACGGGTCAGGTCGCTCGAACGAGGGGAGTGAGCTGTGTCCGACACGCGCATGCGAGGCGTGGTCACCAGCGGTGCATGTCAAACACGGAGCCACCTGCTGTGAGGCCAAAGCAAGCTCCCGCCTAAAGGTTTCATTTGTGCGGAATCCAAGTGCCGAAAGCTGCTACCAGTAGAAAAAGGTCCTCCAAGACATTCACCGATAGAAATTTATAAAAGCTATTATACAGTACTAAAATATACAAATATGTACTAACATATCCATACGAACCAAAACGAAAAACATTACCAGATTTGCTAGATTGGCTTCAACTCGGTGTCCCAACATGTCCCAACTAATCCGATGCACCTGGGCACTGCCTGTTAGTTCCATTCACCAAATCCCCAACATCGAGGTTTCATCTCTTGGAACATCTCTGTCACTTCGCGCCTGATGTGATGGATGTCCAGACTTATTTGCTCCAGCGAAGAAACGTCGCTTTCCCTGCCCAAGGCAGGAATGCAGCGTTGGAATGTACAGTAGCAAAAAAGTGTGGCTTCGCGAGGCTTCGTACCTTCCACAAGGTCTATGCAGTGTTTGCTCTATTAATATGACAAGGTCGCCGGGTCTGCACAACCAAATGTCGTCAATCAATATAGAAGTCTCCGCAACTTTTGGCTGTCGAAACAGTGCACTGAATGTAAATAGTGGTGGTCCAATTGGTTTCTCCTGATTTCGTCCAAGAATAGGATCTTCAGGAATAGGCATTGATCCGTGTTCTTCAACGGTAGAAGTTCATTGATCCTTGATTCATGCAGCACAGTGCAGCACGTCGTTTGGCAATTCAGCCATGGATCGATGAAGCCCTTGCGAAGCAAGAGTTGAAGTCGGTGTGAGCGGCTCAGCTCAGCTCGACATGAAAACGTCAAGCCGCGTCTTACGCCCCCCGAAGCAAGCTTTGTCCTGGAAGCTCCTGCTTGTTAAGGTCGAAGCCAAAAGATGGCTCGGACAGTCGTCCGGCAAGGCTGCCGGGGCTGGGCTGTAGCTGTAGCTGTTCAGTGACAGGACAACTGGGACGTCTGAGGACAACCATTTGGCCTATAAGAGAGCCTTTACGAGCCTTTCATGATGTATATATAGATATAATTATATACATAGGATTATATATAGGTATTGTAGGGTGTCAGACAGGGTGTGGTTTCTGGGATCGATTCGAGCTGTCTCTTGAACTCTGGGGTCTCCAAATTGGTCCCGAACTTCTCTGCGCGATGCGTCGAGGGGCGGATGAAGCCGAGTCCAAGAGCGTGGGGAAGCCCAAGGCGTAAGACACGAATAGACGCGATATACACACACCCGGGGTATGGATACGCCGGGTACCTTCCTGGAGTGTTTCAGTCTGGGAGTCCTGGCAAGGAGCCGTTTCGGAGGAAGCTGGATTGCTCCCTCAACCGTTTGCCGAAGCGCTAATCGGATGTCATCGGTGATGTTCCTTCTCACTAGGCCAATGGAGCCAAATCAGCAGAAGCCGCTGTTCAGGAGCTCGTCAACACACATGGTCAGGAGCTCGTCGTTACCTGCTATGAATGATTGTGAATGCATGTGTTTCTGCTTGAGGTGTTTTCGACCATCACTTGGTGTACCAATGTGTAACAAAAGATGCCATCCCCACTGTGGGTCCTTGCCTTCTGACTTGAACTTGCCACTGGAGTGATGGTGAAAAAGAAGACACCCCGCATCCTTCGCCAGGACTTGCTCCAACCCGAGCAGAACAGGCGGCCCCTCGCAGTTCCCACGCCCCAACAGTCCGATCTCGGATGACCCGGTGACAGTCATCGTGCTGCGAACAAATGCAACGAGAGATGTCCCAGAGCAAGACCGAGCTTCACATCACGCCCGGACGGTTGAGAGGATGGGGGAGCACCAAAAACAATGACCCTAAGGATCCTTGGACCCTCCTTAGAAGGGGTGGAACCCTCTATAACAAGGGTTTGTACCCTCAAAGCGCTTGTTTTTGAGGGTGCGGATCCTTAGAGTACAGGCGTTTTGTCCCTTGAAAAACGCTCAAGCCGGCGAGAGAGGGTGAGCGATCCGCGTGATCGAAGGTGGGCGCTGTCGGGCGTGGTCCTCCTCCAGTTTGGTGGAGTAGACCAATGGGCAGCAATGGGATTGTGGGATCGCAATGGTCACATTGCTCTACTTGTGTACGATTTTCTGGAGGTGGCAACGTTCCGTGAGGATGGTTGTTTGAGAGTTGGATTTCACCACTGGCACAAGAGATGTGCAGAGAAGTGCCTGACAGCTAGACCATGCTAGACCATCCATCTTGATTGCCGAAGCGACCGTCCGACCTCGACTGATCGACTTTTGGTTCCGTCCAAGCTCGTAGGCTGCTGTCCCCGTTCCAGATCTTTTTCTCGCAGAACCATATCCGGTCTGAGTTCCAGGCAGAGAGAGAGAGAGTGTGTGTGTGTGTGCTGGTTGTTTTCGTTTTGTATCAGTGACGTGGCGCCCTACCGTGGCGCCCTACGTTTGGGGATACCACCCCAAAGAAATGTCATGGGGTGTCTTCCTTAAACAAACTCCTGAATGTGTTTTTCTGAAAGAAATCATGAAACTGTTCTTCGAACATGTTTGAACCTAGGGACCTAGGGTGAACTCGGGGCCTGTGGATGGCCCCCGAAAGGAGGACAAGTGTCCGAATACCAAACAGGTGGTGCCATCCACGTAACCATGATGTTTTCGGGGAGTGCGGGAAAGAAACGATGTCGGCACTGCGAATGGAGCGCGTGGCTGATCGGAAGACCAACCCCAAAAATCCGACCCCAAACCCCCACTGCCCCGGAAAGCCTCCGGAAACCCGGCAAGGATGGACGTGCCGTGGACCTCGCGGTGCAGTCCATCCGTTCCTTGTTGAGACGACCGTTCCGTCACGGGTCAATGATCGACCTGGGTTTGGGCGGCCAAAAAAGAGGGATGGTGTAATTATGGTGTGAACCTTTCCCGAGTTCCTGGTGAAATCTCCTAAGTCCATAGGGAAGAGGTGTTACTTACTGGTACTTCCAGGTTCCAGCAAATCCCAGTCGATGATCCATGTTGGGATCGAAAAAGGGTTCGGACCATGGACCTACCCTCCTGACCGAGGCGAGGAGACCCCCAGCTAGCTGGTCCTTCGACCGGTGAATCCGACCCGGGTCCATGGGCGCACACGAGGGTGGGTCGGTGTACCCAAGAGTGGATCAAGCGTTTGCATTTTTTGGGGGGGAAGGTTTGGGAAGGTTGGGGCGCACCCCACGGCCGATAGAAGAGGTGGAGAGTTTGCTTCAAACAGGTTGCTTCCCCTTTGCTTGTTCAGGGGTTCGTCGCCCCCCGACGGGTCAGTCTTTCGACCGTTTCTCTTCGGATCGGTCACCTGACGTTGGGGACGTGCTGAAGACTTGGGCCGAGCGCACTGGATCACACTGGATCACACTGGGACATAACACTGAAGTGAAGCAGCACTGGCCTACCCAGATGCCCCAAAACAAAACAGTTGGCAAGGCTTGGTTCCTCAAAACCACTGATATTGGAGACCCCAGACCCCTCCATATGAAGAACCGATCCCTCCAATATGAGGGTTCAGTTAGGCTTTGAGACGCTTTTGCGACCAGACGAGGCCCCTCACACGCCCCAAGAAGATTCCCCTTTAACCCAGACACTCCTTGGGACTGACTTATTTACCGTACCAAGAATTGGTGCTTGACTTGAGGGGTTGACCCATGGGGTGGGTTAGAGAATGTCAGGGTTTCTTCAGCCTTTGCGAGTAAGACTTGGAACAACAGAATTTCAACAAATTTCTGCACCCTTTTTGAGGTTCCAGCAGGATTTCTGCCAGTGAGGATCCCCAGTACGAGGAGAGTTTGGGAAAAGTTTCAGCATGGTTTACTTGTGCAACGCTGCAACAGCTCATTCATCGCGAGTGTGTGAAAGACTTAGTGGGGCATTGCAAGCAAAACTGGGTGCTGGAGGCTGGAGCACGATCTCTGGCCTTTCATGTCAGGACTTTGGTGTGCCAACAGACTCCGACTGGTGGTCGAGCTGGCGGAACTATTGTTGTCGGTCGAACTGTCGGAACGATGCTCAACTGTGTGCATCTCCTTTGAAACCTTGGGCACCTCATGTTGCTCACCCCAAAAGCATCAATGGGTGTGTATTTCGGAGACCCTCGTTTGACCCCCTGGAAGAAGGAACAGCTATGACCACAACCCATAGGTGGAGGGCAGGGCAACCCAGTCTTGAAGTACGAACCCACTAACATCCCATGACCACCGAGCTGCCAACACTGCAAACGACACCGCGATCCAGCTCGACCGCCTCGCTCCACAGCGGTTGCCCGACGACTTGGCGGCCAGGCTGTTGCAGCCCGAGTTCCCAGAAATCGAAGTCATCCTCTGGCGGATCAAGCTTCGAGAGGAGGACGACCGGTGGCACGCGCGTGGAAGAGCGTGTTGTTCCGAGCCGCGACGTAGTCGCGCCGCGCCTTTGTTCTCGCGGAAGAAGTCGGAAGTTGGGGTCTAGTAGAGGGAAGACCCGTATGTTTGGGGGGTGGATGGACGAGGATTTCGTGTTTTTCGAAGCACCTTGGGGTAGCACTTGTGGTGCTGGAAATGGATATTCCGGAAAGATCCGGAAAGTGTTTAGTTGGGGAGACATTGCATTTGTGATCCGATTCATGAAGTTTGACATCCTATAGAGGCAATTTGTTCAGGAGACGCACCGATTTGTAGCTTGCAGTTCAAACATTGCTTGGCAAGTACAAGCCGCTGCTGTGGGCGGTGGCGCCGGCCGAGGACGGTTCTCAGTTGTTTGACCAGGAAGGCAACGAGCTCTATGGAGACCGAGAGTGGTCCACCGGCCAACGGTGGTTTCGGGACCTGGGGATACCCTTCATGTTTGAGGACCCACACAGGACCCACACATGCCATGGGACTGCCATATAGTTACCTACATTGGGGTGGAAAAGGAATTGAAAAGGAGTGAATGTAGGCAGCCATGGTGGGCCATGGGTAGCCATCATGAGCAGTATGCGGGAGTTGACCGCTGGTTGCAGGTGTGGAGTTGACAATTCAAGACTCAAGACGCCGCATGACTAAGTCTTTTTTAAGACACGAGTCCATCATATCACCAAACGTTGAGGGCCAAAACTGTAGCTCTGCGGATTGCAGGTACACCTTAGACAATCGCAGGCTCTACTGCTTGCAGAGAGCAGCTGTTTCGCTATATCCCAAAGAGGCAGGAGATTTCTGACTTCAGAAGTTGGGCTTAAAGTAGAAAGCCAGACTAGCCAGACCCCAAGTTTCCAGACGAAACACGATTGGCGCCCATCTCCTTGTTGGCGCTGTCTCCTTTGCTTGCTGCAGAAGGTCGGTTTGACGGTCAGCTGGCGCCCATCCCCTCCTCACCGTGAAAAAAACCGATCGGAAGACGGGTTTCTGGGTCCGAATTCATGGTCCTCATACACGGTGGAACACCGGGTCCCTTGTGCTGGATCGTCCTTGAACTTCTTAGTGAACTTCTTCACATCCACAGAAGACAGCTGCCAATTGGGTCATCCATCGGCCTTGACAGAACGCAGAGGTCAGAATCTTGGTGAAAGTCGTTCGACAAGAGGATGGGAGCTGCAGAGAGGCCAGAAGTGGGTCGATGTCTCAAACGGGAGCATGCGGGAGCCGAAAAAGTCAGTCACCTAGAGTCTACTCTCATCTTCCTCCCATATGGCTGCCTTTTTGTTGCGCAGGATTGGTGAGAATCCATGAGTCACTTTTTGTTGCTTTTTTGATGCATGAGACCCTCGAAGTCCGAAGACTATATCTTGACCGTTGAGGTCCCCCAAAGACATCTAAAGACTATATACATACCTGGACCTTCAAAGGGGTGTTTAATGGAGATCCCTAAGTAGTGTAGGGGGGCTTCCATTTATATTCTTTTTATAGTCTTTGACTCCCAGGGAGAGATGTTTTGTCGATTGAGAGTAGATGGCACAATCCCCCATCTAAAGTCCTCTTGGTGTGCCAGTGCCATCTACTCAGACTATCTCAGACTCTGAAACCGCTGTTTTCTTGTCCCAAAGTGGGCGGTCAGTGGTCGCCTTCGGTCGCCTTCTCCGCGTGTTCAGTTCCGGAAGTTCCGCTCCACCGACCGTGGGCGCAGCATCCGCTTGGGGCATAAGGACGGTTTGCCGGGTGGCCGGGGGCGAGTACGGCGTTGGTCGGGGTAGCGATGCCAGTCCCTAGTAGCTTCTTGCTCCTAGTAGTAAGGCCAGGAGCGGCTTCACATGTTCACGTGGTATCTTGAGAATCAGGCAAGTGCGTTAGGGCTTGGGCCATCTTGGGCCTGCGATGCAGATACACAAAAAAAGCACTTCAAAGCCAGGATCGGCTTTGATTCTGGGTGGATGTTGTTGAATTCATGTCGTGAAACTCAATCGTTGGATTTGTTTGGAAGGATTCTCCAGATCTTCCGCGCTGGTGTTGGCGCTTGGAGGCAGATTGGACAATCAAAAACGGCGGTCTTTCAGCACGACTCCAGTTGGGCTACGCCCAAGAACATCGCCATGGCGGGTCTTGGGATGTTTGCAAGCACTGCAGGTCGGCCTTTGTGAAGAGCTCCTACCAGCTGGCTCTCCTTTACCCAGGCGGCCGCGGCGGCCCCTCTATGATACCTGGCGTGGCAGGATTATAGGCGGCACCTCAAAAGGTCGATTCGAAGTCTATTCAGGCTATAAAACCCATAAAATTATATAAAACGGCTCTAGATTGCTAAGGCCATGGCTGCCTAATGCTGCCTATAGGCTCTAGATGGGGCCATGGCTCTCCATGGCTCAACTGACCCCCCCAATCGTCCGAACACCGCGCCAGGCAGGGGAGAAGACGAGAACGTCAAGGCGGTGATGATGATGACGATGACGATGATGGGTGTGCGCGTCGTTGTTGTTTTGGGGTGATTGAACCAACTGCCCTGTTCAGGGTCCCGGACTATTGGACACCTGACCTCGAGTCCAATCGTTCAACATTGAAGGATGGATGCGGCGCCAGAAAAGGGCAGGGGCCAGGCGCGGAAAGCACCGTGTGTCACTTCTAAATCAAGAACTCAAAAAGCTTTGTACTTGCGACATCTTGCGACTAGTATCCCTGAATCATTGGATGCTTTGCAACACCTGCATGATGCCGAGTTGCTTGGCGCACCTGTGCAGGGATGACGAGTCAGAGACCACCTGGGGTCAACACTTGGCTAACGCTTCCCTTTTCGTGCCCTCCGAATACTTCCGAAGCCCAGATAGCCCGTGTGGGTCCAAAGGTACTGATGTGGAGCCGGCAAAGATCAATCACGGCATTTAATCAAATTTAATCAATATCTTTGGTTCAGAAGCATTGCAGGATTTCGGCCCACATCTACCACCCAAAATACTACTGGCAACAGCAGATGTTTCTGCTGGCACTCTCCTCCGCCATCTTCTGCCCATGTCTCACGCTACCGGAGGTACTGGTGTATGCCGCCATGCGTTTGATCTTGGCCGTTTGGCGTTTCTACCTCTCGGACGTGCCGAGGTGCCTCAGCCGGTCCGGGCCGGGCCGTAGGGCGATACCGGTGCCCGCCGTGGATCGGTGTGGATCCACCGAGGAACGCGCCCGGCACATGTGATGCTGCAGATCATACCGACCACCAGTGATCAAGTGATATTTCGACTCTTGACTTATCTTGATTTAATATGATTTAATAAACCCTCAAGGCTTTTCAGAGGAAGTCCGTTCATGAACAAACGAGGGGGGTTTATAAATCAAGAGTCTATAAATTAGATCCTCCAAACTTGGATCATTCTCAGGACCCTCCGCACCCTCCAAACCCCTGGGCCCCCCCCACATCGGAGCTGATCAGCCCGTCGACCTGTCTCCAAACCGGTCGGTGGGACCTCGGGCGCGGCACGCGCCGAGCCAGGCCGCCCATCAGCACGTGAGGCGCTGAAGGAACATGCGCGAAAGCGCCACGGTCAGAAAGCGGGTGCAGGGCAGAGAAGCTCGAGCCTGGGAGAGGGTGGTGGGAGAGGGTGGTGGAAGCATGCTCTGCGGTGCCGAATTGGATGCGTGGAACTTGGCTCCGCAGGGCTGAAAAAGCAAGCATGTCACGGTCGCGCTTGGCGTGTCCTCAAATAATTACCTACCGATACTTGCCGGCATATTTATGATGCAGTGATGAATCACAGGGAAAATGATGTTGGTGTAAATCTACAATGATTCGAGCCATGGATTTTACATGATTTTACTACAATAAGCACCGCACTAGATCAAACAACTTCAAAGAAGCATGTAGAACAAAAAGAACAGTAGACCACTTGATATGTCCGTGATCCTATATTTGTAGACCATAACTCCTGGCTTGTTCCAACCTCACTTCCACACCACTTCTTAGCACCCATGTCCGCGCCTGCCTCGCCCGCCTCCTCCGCTCGCGCGCGGCCGCGGCCGGTGGGATCACCACCGGGCGGACGCAAGAAGGACACCCCGGCACGCTACCAATGGCTCTTCGAGCGGGAACGTCTCCGCGACGGCTCGGGTGGATCTCTAAGTCGGGGCTTGGGTGCCAGTGCAGGGCAGTGTGGTCGCCCAGGTCTGACCAGCCCCACGAGTCCTCCGACCCTCAGTTCCAGCCCTCCCAGTCCACACTTCCCGCCGCAGCCGCGGTACATGGAGAGAGCCAACTCCACGTCCATACTGAGCTTGGGGCACTCGAGTCCAACGGGTGTTGGGTCAGCTCCTTAGCGGCTCGTGGGGCCCGTGGGGATTGTCTTGAGATCAACAAATGTGTGCGAGAATGCAATCGGTTGCTTTCACGCGTCAACGGCAGTTGCTTTCAATCAATGAAGGAAAGTTATATATATATATACATAATGTATATATTGGTGCTGGCCTTCTGAACTGAAGGTCTGTGCTCTTCTCACCTCTCTCTGATGCTGCTTCCTTCTTGGCTTGGATCTCAGGATTCCACAAGAAATTGCAGAATAGCTACTTGAGTCTAGGAGGGTCTAGGAGGCAACCAGAAAGCACCTGCTTTTGGATGTTGTCGGTATTGTTCTTCCAAAAATACCTGTTCATTGTTCTTGCATTCTTGCTGCTTTATTGGCTGAGGCCAAATCGGCTCAGCTGAGTATGGCAAAACAAGACCTTCGCGACGTCGTCTTTTGCTGCAACCAGGCGACGGCAAGGCATTTGATCATACATTTGTATACTACAAGCATTCTATTATGCTATAGACTGCAAAATACTGCGAATGAGTGCTTGTCATACTTTGGTGTAGGCGTGTCCGGGTCAATTATCGTATGATTTCTTTGGTATACATCCTCCCAATTACATCCTCCTGTCTTTTTGTATACAGATCTCTATACCAACCCTGCTGTCTTGCTGTCTGTGAGGCAGTGGCTTTGGGGCCAGACTGCAGCGCCAGCCTTATGAACCGAGAGTTTGCACGGATTCGCCGCGCGGATTACTCCGCTGAACGGGGACTGCGACAGGCCTGGCGTGGAAGCAGCGGGGCCTCGCGCGATTGCAGCTGGGGGATGTCAGAGGAGCTCTGGAGGACGGAGAGTGCTGCAGACGATGCATCCGTTTGGTTAGGCCTCCATTTTGGACGTCCGCGAAAAGAGTTAGATGATAAGGACGAAGCAAAGGATATGACACCTAGACCATCCATGGGACTAGCATATATACTCGTACCTGCAGTACCCACCAATAGCTTAATGGTTTTTACCGAACCACAATTATTTTTCCAAGGACTTTAACCCTACAAAACAGGTTCAACCCTTTTGAAAGTGGTCTGAGTAGGGGTCTGTGAATGCTGGGGATGGAGACAGCTTCTGCCTAGACTGGGTCGCAGAGACGATCTCGAAGACCGAATCCCACCATTTGGAAATGGCAGGTCCCGGAGAATTCCACCAGATCCCACCAGGGAGTGAGAACTTCTGAGACATTCACTGAAAACCCCAGACTTCAGACTCAAAGTTCGTCCTTGGCCAGGACATGGACATGGCCGTGCAAAGCAATCCTACAGATGCGCGGGGAGCCCCGAAGCGAAGAGCTCTCTTTGGAGGGTCTTAAAATATCTCAAAACGAGTGGATGTTGCTTTTTGGACTCCAAAGGTCACGCTTCAGGTTCCCAGCCACCTAAGTTCCCCATCATGCAGTCAGCTTCAGGCCTTCAGCTCCAGGGAGGCCCCCTTCTTTGGGGATACCAAGGTACTTCAATCCAATCCACACTGGTCAAGTAGCACAATCCCCCTGAAAGGGGCAAGCTCTCTCTCTCTCTCTTCCCGCCAATCTCGAGTCAACTCTGTCTTGTCGTCTCCGCACGGCACGGTAGGGCCCCGGAGCCGACCCCGGCGACCCGACCTCCGTGGGCCGAGGCGGCTCTTGGAAGGGAGAGCTGCTGCCCGCTATGGCCGCGAAACGGCATGTTGAGTCGACCTCGAGCGACCCGGTGGTCGACCGGTCTGTTGACGGAGAGAAGGAAGCAAGAAAGAAAGAAGAAGACGCATCTCAGACTCGACTCTTGAATTCGTAAGCTCCTCCGGATTTGTATAACCATGTATAACCTCTTCAAGTGAATCAAGAGTTTATGAGTTTGCAGGAGGATTTTCTTCAGGTCGAGGGCCTAAACAACCCTGTTCATGTGTCCCTGCCAATCCGTCTGCACTTCTCAGTCTCCGAGACTTCGCAGATGACGTTTTCTCCGGACTCCTCCAATGCGCTGCGCAGCAGAACCGGACGCTGCTGGCGCGCACGCCAGGACTCCGTGACTTCGAGGGTGCGGTGGATGATGTGACCTCAGCCTTAGAGGTCGAAAGCCTTCGCCCGGAGATGTGGCAAAGACGAGGCTTGGCCTCCGTGATGTTGGAGGACAGGAAGCGAGCGCGAGTGTAGAGAAGCGAGGAGGGAAGGAGCGTGCGTGCGTGCGTGCGTGCTACTGAACTACAATTTGAATATTATACATATATATATAACATTTTTTGGAAACAAGAAAATAAAAACCGATTTATGATAATCGTGTTGGGCCTGGAAAGAGGATGAACGGGTGTTTTCCTTGTTCATGGTTGTTCCATGATGGTTGTGTTCACGAAGATGCATCCATTGGAACGTCAGTTTGGAACCCCAGTAGGTATATTGACCAATGGCCCCATGGTCCGTTGAAAAGACTTTGTGAAAATGAACTATCACTAAGTTGACCTGGGTGTTGGCTGCAGCTGCAAGTGATCCAGTTTTGCCATAGCTTCTCAAATTATGTGTGGTGTGTTTTCCTTGTCCACTTCATGGAAGAATCAATGAGGACTATGCATCCGCCGCGGCTGACTATGACAAGGCAGTCATGGACAATGAGCTGAGCTTTGAAAAGATGATGTCGAATCAGACAAACCACTATGGTTCAACCTCTTTAATCAGTTCGTGTTTTTGGTGTCATGTACCGTCATCGCCATAGACTGTTGCTGATGTTGCAGCTTTTAGAGCCAATCAGCGGATGCATAGGCGTACCGATATGTCGGAATGTGACCCATGACCAGCATGGCCGTCGGTAAAAGAAGATCACTTTTGGGGGGAAAGGCCTTTATTGACCATCGTCATCCACTGCAGACTGGTAATACATCGTAGCCGAGAAAAAAAGAAACGTCCATAAATGCGTCTTACGCATTCAAGTAAGACGGAAAGGAGACAAATCCACGGTTACTGGTACTGGGATATACCCAACATGGTTCAATGAGTTTCACCAAGTTCCAGCAAATGGGTGAGCTGTAGCTGTTTGATCTGGTGCGGAGTGGGTGATCTCATGGTCATAATGTCCTAATTCTTTGGCAACTTTGCAATCCCAGTATGGAATTAGTTATATTACATACATTTACCAATATGTATTATCATTTACCCCATTTATGACGTAGGTATCTTCCATCCATGGAGGGTCTCGGAATGTCTTCACCTTGCCGCGGATGCCATTTTTCCAGGCAGTGAACTTGGATCCTCACGATGAAGCCACATGGAGATACCGAAGCGTTGCAAGGACGCCTGCCGATGTGACGCACGGAACGAGAAAGCGTGTGTGATGACGCACTGGTTTGGTCGTCACAGGTCACATGGTCTACTTTGACAGCACTTCTGCGAGCTGTGTTCGGACAAAGCATGACATGACCCCATATTTAGTGACAGCCTAGATTCGCAAAAAGGGACAAGAATGAATTCCATTTAGTATACGTCGTATATAGTATATATATATATATCCCATAATAAATCTCATGTATGTCAGTCATGATGGGAAATCATCATCGCTCTGACTGTGCGCCGTGTCGGAGACCGCGACACCGTGTCGCGGTGGGCGGTGGTTTCGTGGCAGGTTGCAGTTGGATGATCACCGAGCTGAAGACGATGCCTCCCAGGTGAGAGATTCCGGTATGTGTTCCCAGCAAACCGGTAACCAGAGCGTCAAATCTTGAGGATTCTTCAAACGCTTGATCTTGAAAAAAGATTCTGAACCAAAAGCATGAAGGTGGACAAGGTCCACGGTTTTGATGCAGTTTCAACTGCATGATTCAGATGTACATCCCCATTTCTTGGGTTCCCCAACATCTCATCGAACATCAATCCATCTGAAAATCAGATCAAGATCACCTGCGACCTCAAAATCTGACCCCATGCAGAGCGCCAGGCTGTGAAGCTTCATCCCAATGCGGAGAATTATGTGCAGCGTCCTGGCCTCAGCGGTGCACGTCTTCGTCGTCGGGAAAGGGCGTCGGTCTCTCCACGGGTGGTCGACGGTGGTCCACGGGCAGCGCACGGCGCCACGCACGGGCAGGTGCCAGAGTGAGGCGAGCGCGGCGCAGGGTGTCGTCCCGTGGCGTGGCGGGCTGACGTTCCGGGTATGGGTTTGGTCTCAAGAGAGGAAGGTGATCCAAAAGAAGCACCAAAAAGAAACCACAAGGTTCCATGAGTGCAATAGAAGGCAGAATATGCCCGTGGGGAACTAGGCACCAGGAGACCGAGAAAGGGCACAAGCTCTTCCAGGTCGTTCGAGAATTCCTGGTGGACTGGTCGGGCGAAAATGGTGGGTCACAGCCCATCCCCATATTATATAGTAACATGAAAATCATGAAAAGAGTCAAGTGCCTGGTTTCTAGATGTGAGAAATCTCATGTTTGAAGGGCTTTGGTCTTCTGGTCTTGTTTCAAGACAGGGTCCAGTTCGACATTGCCCCAACAGAAAGAAGAACCACACTTTGAATCAGGGAGAGTTTAGGAGATGCGCGAATTTGGTCAGCTGCTAGAGCTGCTAGATTCTTGGAAGGAAACGGACCCAAATGTTTTTCTGCAAAGCAGTGACCCAGCCGTGTTCGTCGGCCAAACAAAAATGGCGTGGGCAGGCTGGAGAGGCGCAAGTACGAAGGAGCCATTCGTGATTGCACCGAAGCCCTTCGGATGGTGCGCGATAAGGCCAGTCGAAACCAACGACTTCGACCCGTTTCTATCGACTTGGACGACCTGATGCTCCCCCGTTTTTTTAGCCCCGGAAAGGGGTGAAACAGGGGAAATCCACCGAAATCCCGGAAAGAACACGCCCCTTTGTGTTAGAAACTGTCAGAAATCCAGTGATTGAACTCTTCCCAGGTGTTTCATGTCGGAAGAGATCCAACACTGGGCACGATCCACTGGGAGACCCCACTGGACTCCCGCTGGTCCGCCCCCTTGACGGCCCAGTGGGGAGAACTACACCATGCAGTAGGTTTGGGAGTTACCAGGTGAGCTGGCCATTGTTGCGAGATTCTGTCCTTTAGATTTTACAGATATTGTTCTTTCGAGGATCTTAGGTCAAGTTGGAGCGCTCATGAAAAAGGGCTCGTTGGCCAATATGGCCGAGCAGCACTGGTACTGCACGGTACTGCAAGTGATATTCCTGGAATATCAGAGCTGTTGTTCCTTATATTATATTCCTGTTTGTTTCTGTTCGGAAAGCCCCATCTTTTGTCTACCCACAGATCTACCCACAGCCCCTCATGCCGCCAACATCGACTCCGACCCCGAAGATCGAAAAACCGGCCGCGCGCGAGGCAGAGATTTGGTTCTTGCGCGCTCTGGCGAAGAATAAGCTCTCGGACTACATGGGAGCTATGACCGACTTGGCGCAAGGGATTCGCTGCGACCCGCACACCTATCAGGCGCCCGCACACCTATTGACGTGTGGCACAGGTGGAGAAACCGGGAGGGTTTGGTGTATTTCAAGGTCGGAGGCGATTTGCCATTTGATCTTTGTTTTGTGCGGAAGCTTTGTGGTCCAAAGTATCAAAAGCCAGTGGAACACATCCAACAGCCCAGAACCAGACATCCGTCCCTCTCAGCATAATGCCATGTTCATGCATGTTCATGCCATGTTCGGATGAATTTGAGCAGGTGTTCCACACTCAAAGTGGCCTAGAACATCCTAGAACCAAAGGATCCAAAGGCAACTAGAAGCAGAACAAGTCAGTCTTCAAAGTCATGCTGCGGTCTTTGAGACTTTGAGATCTATATGTTCAATCATTGTCGGCTTTGTGGTCCCTGGAGAACCAGCCCTGGAGACCGACGTGTTTTAGACCCATCCGTCGTTCGGACCGAAGAGATCCACCAGGCTCTGGAGACCCGAGCGCAGATACAGCTCCGCCAAGGCGGCCGGACAGACGGGGCGACAGAGAGGTCGGAGGACAGAGACGTCCCACTCAAAGAAGTGCACCTTTTCCTGAGACATCCCCGTAACAATAGGCTCTTCAATAAAATCTAGGGGGTCATGGTATGGCATAAAACCTTTTATGAGATGGTCCCTTATGGATACTATTTGATACCTACTAAAAGGATCCAAAAAGGATGTGCCTCATGAACGGTTGCTTTTCACCGACTGGCGTTTAATCAGTGTGTCCCTTTGCTTGATTTTTCGGGTGGTACATCTGTGGGTATGTCCAAACTCAGACGGGATATCAGAGTTTTGACCAATGCCTCTCCTGTAAAAAAACAGACAGTGTCTCGCGCTAGATCTTACGTTTTCAGGGCTGCAACCCGTTCAAGGCACGCTCCGGCTTCGCTCCAACGCTCTGCTCGCCAGGTCGCTATGAGGAAGTGATTGAAGAGTGCAGTGAGGCAGCAGTTTGCAGTAAACGGCTCCTTCTCGACCGTGTTCTCGACTTCGGAAGAGTCATGAAACCGAAAGGAAGAGTCAAGAAACAGAGCGTCACAGATGACCAGAGACGTCGAGGTTTTACCATCCGTTCGACCAGCCGAAAGCAGATCTGAATGTTCAGGTCATTCCTATCATGCCGGAGCCTGCCGAACTCCTGCTTCAAGCTCGGGAGTGTCCCGCGTGTCTTTCTTCGTTTCTTCCCGGTGTGTTTTCGGGCAGCTCGGGAGTCCTTACTGAGGTGCTGTCGTGGTCAAGCTTACTTTCGCAAAGGCCACTTTCGAAGCACCCAGCTCAGGTGCTCTTCAGCTGGTTTTTTTGAAACGGTTGCAACCGTAGTACTTGCAGCATTTGGACTCCACGCTGCCTGTGTATTGTATTGATGTGTATTGTAGAATGAGCGATTCTGAACAGGTGAAAAACTGGCATCCCATGGCCGTCTTTTTGGTTCCAAGATGTTCCAAGCCCTGAATGGAACACGGCGTAGCAGTCTAGTATAGTCTACAGTCTAATGCTTTCATAGGGATGTTCATGAATTTGATTTGTCTGACGAGTTTTGCATTCGTTTGTGATTGCTAGAGTTTGCTTGTGACACAACATGGTCCAAAATTTGTCATTATAGATTTATTGGTCCATAACTGTCTAAATACTCTTTAAGTGACCAAAACATCGCCGAAAAAAGGAGTTTGTGTGCCACAGCTGCGTTTCTCATTGATTCCCCTGGGCCCATGAAGGTGGCCAAGCACCTCGGCTCGCTAATTCCACGTTCTCGCCGCGAAACGTCGGTGGGCACCGAGGCGCGCTGGAGGACTTTCAGAGTTCGCTGCAACACGAACCCAACAGTGCGGCCCTGAGTGGGGAGAAGCGGTTCGGTGGTCACCTGCGTTTCGGCGGAAGGAAATGAGACGGTGGTCGGGGGGACAGAGCGGATGAGAAAAGCATAGAAAAGCCATGTTCCTTCAATTCAGGGGTTGGGGTGGTATGATGGTTGTTCATTGCGGGTTGAGTGATGCTGTCAATACAAGTTCAACAGATATAGACAGATGGCATGTCCAGCATTCTTAAAGATTAAAGAAAGGACATATTGAGATGCGCCCTCCCGTCTTTCTTACGCTGATGATGTTTGTCCAATAAGACCCGAAAGCTTATAAGCTGATTCTTGTATTCACATGTATTCACGGACATTGTTCCACTTGTAAGTGCCCCAAGCGCCCTTGAAAGCATAGCTTTGGTTGAAGTCGTCCATATCGATCAAAAACAACAAAAACATATGCACACGATTCATCTCTAGTCTCGTGATTCAAAGGAAAAGCGCTTCCATCTGAAATCGAGCGCACCAAGTAAGTTGAGAAGCAAATGCACAGTAAAGTCAGTTTGGAGACCCAAACACACTTAGAAACTGCTAGTGTAACTGCCATGGCGGGAATTTGCACGGGAGGCTGCATCCATTTGAAGCGTGATCAGTTTTGGGATCGAATGTCAGTGCTGCAGTTACCAATTGTTGTTTTCGGTGTTTCATGTCTACGGTGTTCGATCGCAATAAGACCTGGCTCGCCAATGAAAGACCGGGGGAAGACCGTCTCGATGCAGTCTTGGCTTTGAATCGGTTGGCCAAGGTGTAGGGTTTCTGTTGACCGCTTTTCGGTCTTTGGTGCGGCTGTTTTTTTTGGCGGTCTCGCTTCGGTGGCGTTTGTGCAGGTTGTGGCTTTTGGTCCCTCTGGCTTTGATGGCTTTTGGATGCAGCCTTCATTATCCTTCATTTTATTGTTTCTGCTTTTATAGTTATTCCCTTTCCTGGAATCGATTCGTTGTCCTTCTCATGCGCAATGTGTAATTGTCCTTCCCATGTCGTCGCATGTCCCTTTCATGATACCTTCATGCTCCTTCTAAATGTCCTGACTCTTCTTGTTTTCCATTCCTCCTCTCGTCTTCCCAGAGTCCTTTTCGAACACTTCCAGGCGTCACACCGGGCCGGACGGAACGACCGGATCCACACGGCTCGACCGGAGCTGCGCAGCACCGAGACGTCGGTTGCGCAGCTGAAGCATGCACCCAGAGTCATGGTCCCGGTTTGTTCGAATGAAAGAGACATTTGATTGGCTGTTTGAATGTGCTAGCCTAGGCAAAGTGGCCCAGAGAATGCTTGACAAGACTGAACAGCGATCACCTCAAATGAAGTAGTTGAGGAGTCCAGAGACTAAAATAGAGACAGAGACAGACAGAGAGAGAGAGAGAGGTGGGGAAGTCATGAGATTTTGGTGGAGTTTGATTATCAGTTGTTGTTTTGTTCCCATGGCAATGGTTTGCTTGATGAACTGTGACAACCTCTTCTGGCATTTCCTTCTGGGTTGCACCTGCAGGTCTTTGAAGCAATTGGATAGTTGGAAGCTGCGACTGGGCCGCTCAGCCTCCTTTGGTGAGGTCGTGAATCGTGCAGAGCTTGTAAACCAATAGATTCAACATCTGAGTTTGTTTCAAAAAGGCATAAGAACAGACAAACCAGAACAATGGGACAATGGGTGTTGTTGCCTTTGCCTTATAAAGTGGTGTTCTGTCAGAACCCGTGCTTTCTTTCCTTAGTTCTAGCATGATTGAGATGTTCATTGATGAAGCGAAACGCGCCAGCGTCGTGTAAATAGCTGCCCGCTGAGCAGTATTGAAACCGCTGTTTTTGAAAAATTTCCTCCGGATCAACAAGTCCGTAGGGGACAGACACGGATCACATTCGCGCAGGCGCACCCTGTAGAAAGGCCCCTCTGTCAATCTGGTTGGTGAAACAAGCTCTTTTGAGAAACAACAAACAAAGATGTCCGATCTCTGGAATAAAAAAGAAGCATCTCCAAAAGGGACTGCTTGTAAGAGTTTTGGCTCTCTCTATTCCACAGAGCCTGCCGCGGCGGCTTTCAGCACTGCTTCGGTCCGAGACCACCCAAAACACGGGCGTTTTTTTCTGTCCCGGCTGCAAAGTAGCCGCTTTTTTGACAGCAAAGTTGCCAGAGATCAATCTGTTTAATGTGCTTCAGTGCTCCTCAAAGGAGATTTGGGCCGTGATCTGATGCAAGAGCAAAAGAGCTGTGTGAAGGAGCGACCCTTGGGGTCATGAGCGGTACTGGTCGCACGAAAGTCGTGTCTGCATGCGAGTTTGCATCAGTCTGCATCACTTCAGAGTGTGAGGTAGTGAGAAACTCATCGGTCGGCTTCTTACACCAACTGACTTGCAGCGTCAAAAGCGCTGTGTCTTCGGCCGTGAAACAAGCTCTCGCAGCAACTTGGCTCAACTGCCCAAGCATGTGCCAAAGCACTAAGCACAGTTTAGATGGTATTTCCAGCCCAAGGAAGCACGGTATTGTATATACCTTCTTTTCCACCCGTGGCGTGGTACAGGCGAAATCGCCCTCTTTCGCCCGAAGTGGTACGGTGCACCGACCGCAGGCTGGTGTTTTTTCCACCCAAACCAGCAGCAGTCCATTTGCGCCATGGCGACGAACTGGTTCGGATCTGCTCATGAATCGGCCTTTGCCTTGGCGAAAAGCGGATGGGGTTGATTAGCAGGCAGAGGAGGAACCTGCTGCAGTAAGGACTTCTTCATTAGTCTCCAGTGAGTGTGTGTGTGTGTTGTGTGTTGTATGTGTGTGTTTTGCACGGGCATGCGGCATGTTCTGAAACTGTTCAGAATGTTTCTGCAATAAGGTTACCAACGCCATTGCCAATGCACCAAGTTTGCAAGCTGTGGCGGAGAACCTGGGAATCAAAGATTTTCATCAGTCAGGGTGTCTCAGATTGAGAGAACTGGAGAAGACAAGAGATGATTTTCAAACACCAAGCTACATAGTGTTTTTTAATTGTGGTGAGCTACAGGATGATAAAACACTGAACAATTAAATAGTTGTTTGATTTTGTTTAATGGTTACATCAAGCAATGATTAGGTGATTTCTACACAGAATGGTAATTCGCTGCAGATGGGCCTCGGCCAAAGCGTTTGACCTGCACTCAGCAGTCCACGAGCAGGCACGTTTCAATGCTATAGAGTTGGGTTGTCAGAAGGAACCTCATGAAAGAAATCGAAATCAAATGGCCTTCCTGCAAAAGAGGGCCACAGAGGATAGTTCGTCCGCATCTGAGCTGTGTCTTGGAAAGGGTTGCAGAATTGTCAACTTCGGGAATCTCGAACGCGATGCCTATCCACGGCAGGAATTGTCCCAAGCCAGCCACTCGTGGCGTCGTTTTCGTCCTCCTCGTTTCGTGGTCGAGCCACTGGCTGCCATGGGGAGTGCTTTGGCCTCAGAGCCTCAGTGCGAAGCAGCAGCTCCCGCACCAAAGGTAGAGGTTGGCAGGGTTGCAAAGGTTGCTCCTGTGGTCACTCCCTTCAATCACCCTGATGCCCATGAGTTGAATGGTATGAGAGCAGCTGCCAAGCAGACCTATGATGCCCTACCACGAGATGGCAAAGAGATTTGGAAAGCCATGAGCACCACCATTTCAAACACTTTGTCAGCTGGAGTAGTTCATTTTGAGTCCAAACTAAAAAATGAGCTTGGGATACAAATTGGGGACTGCCAACTTGACCGTCAAGCTGGATCTCAATGGGTCCTGCGCTTTGGATCGAGCTGGAATCCCTACTATGTCTCCGTTCGAGCAGAAGTGCTTGGCAGCAGCGGTTCGGAGTTGCTGTCGGAGTTGAAACGCAAAGCCAAGACAGTCAAAAGCACGCTTCTGGATCATGGAGCTCAATGGCTACGTGATTTGACCAAGTCACATAGCACCAAGGCTAACTTCTTGAAGGCAGTGCAGGAGAGGGAGCGCTCAAGCAGCAAAGGTAAAGGAAAAGGCCATAAGGGCAAGACACCGCACAGCGACTGCAGTGATGAAGATGAAGATGAAGTTTGTCATATTTGCTGGAAGAGCATCAGGCGAGATCTTCTGGGAGGCAAGCACATGTGCCGCATCGTGGTGCAGTTCACTTGTTGTGGGAAATGGACTAGCCACTCTGGCCGCTATAATGTTGAGGAGGGCAGAGTGATGGGGCAGAGGTGTCAGCGCTGTGGGCACTATGGCCAGCCATCGAAAAAGTGGAGCTTCGCAAAGGAGCACATTGCCGTAGATGGCGAAGATTCGAAGAAGGCGCACCGCGAAGACCTGTGCGAGGCGTGTGAGAGGTATGGAAACTGCCGGGGAGCCTTTTTTGATCCATTTCAGATGGCCATGGCAGTTCAAGCATACACTGGTCGGCCTGCGCAGTGGTCCCGATACCAAGGAAGTGACTTGTGGATTACGGAGGTGGACCGGCAAATTGTTGTTTTGCGACCACATGTGTTCCTTTCAGGAAGGAAGGTTGCCTGAGCCAAAGCACCTCAAGAGCAGGGAGCTTGGCCTAAATTTGCGAGCTATGAAGCTGACTGAGATAACCGCGGTTCAACAAACTTAAAGTTTGGGGATTGCTCGAAGACGACACTAACAACACGCCCCGTTGTTTCAACGCCCACGCAAGTCACGCAAGTGCTAGCCGCTAGATGTTGCTCGCAGGCAGTCGAGTTAGTGAAGACCAAGGTGGGCATGGGTGAAAGAGCACTCTTCATGTCGATGTGGCCGAAAGGCCTTGAAGAACCAGAAACAAGGACCCACAGGTTCTATATCCTTTTCATCCTTGTTTCCTTTCATCACCCGGCTTACTGGATTGTACCCGATGTTTTTGTTCACTCTTGCCAGGCTTATTCCAGAAACGCATCGGTTTAACGCATCGGTTTCCGCAATGACTGAGGTGAAGGGAGAGTTCGGGAACGAAGTCATCGACATGCTGGATGCTCTTTCCGAATGCATGCGGAAGATTTCAGAGGTGACCGTCGCAGACGCTACGGCTACGCCGCTACGCTTTCAGAGGGTGTTTTTTTCAGATGGATGGTCCATGGGATGGGGTGCACCTGTTGCGGGATGTTGCGGGTGCACCTGTTGCACGCACCGGTTGGTTGCCCGCCCTGGTCGGATCAGGAGAAATCCCCCCTTGTTGGTGCAAGATCCATGTGGAAGAACAGACAGCAACCCACATAGTTGAGTTAGTAACTGGAGTGGGATATGGAGTCATATATGGAGTCTAGGAGGTATCCTGAATGAAAGACACGAAAGGATATGAAAGGTACATATATGGCCGCTTTAAGATCAATACAGAAAGCCGCAGAAAGCACATGTCACACCTGCACAGGAAGGCTCTCAAGTCTCAACTTTCCTGTCAGACCATAGATTTTCTGAATGGAATGCAAAGCACGGCATAGCGGTCCCGACCAGCATGCATCCCTGTCATGTTTTTTTGTCATTAGAAGAGAAAAACCCGTCAATTCAATAACCTGCTTTTCGATGATCGAAGGAGTTGAAGCTGAAGGAGGCCAAGTTTGGCATTACGTTGGCACTTCCGTTGGCCGCCAGCTCAGCCAAGAGCTGGCCCTTTTCAGTCGACTCATCTAAGCCTCTAAGCTGGACCAGATCCAGACATCCAGATCCAGTCCACCTGAGGTCTCCATGCAGCATAACATGCTGGAACGTCCCGACGTCGAAGGACTACCCCGCATGACTCGCCACTGCCTCAAAGTTCCCAGAATTGCTTGAAGGGAACATCCACAGGGTTCACCCTGATCCGTAGATGGACCCGTCAACCAATTCTGTAAGCGTTCTCTTCAACATCGCATCGCTACCAAAGCACAGTGCCATCGCATCGCCCCGCCAGGACTTTTGACCGACCGGGCGTTGCTGGACGAAGCGGCGTATTGGGTGCCGACGCCGAGTCCGGACGTGACCCGGACGGGACCCGGTGGACGGACATCGACCGGGGACATCGAGGCGTGGGACATGGGCGACCCGGAGACGGTGCCGGGGTGTCAAAACCGGAAGACACAGCCGACACAGCCGACACAGCCAAAGGGTGAAGAGCTGCGGTGTGGGTTCGAGCGGCGATGTCAGGTGGATTTTGCTGCGGGAGCCTATGGTAAGGAGGACATCAAGGGCTATGACAAAGCCTCGGTGAACGTGGCGATTGGTGAGAAGCGTGGACCTATGAAACTGCACTGCGCCATTGGACGACTCATGGAAGGAAAGAAGAAACTACATCACCGTAGACCCCAAACAGTTTGTAATTTTCAAAATCGGAACTCTCTGCAACTAGAGCTTGCGACGTCCAGAGCTGGGAGACAAAGGATTGCAAGGCAGAGGCGGCCACAGCAGTCCAGAGCTGGGAGACAAATAAAGGATTGCGAGGCAGAGGCAGATACAGCAGTCTAGAGCTGGGAGACAAATGCAAAAGGATTGCGAGGACAAATGTAAAGGATTGCAAGGCAGAGGCGGACACAGCAGCTCAGAGCTGGGAGACAAATGTAAAGGATTGGAAGGCAGAGGCGGACACAGCAGCCGAGAGCTGGGAGACAAATGTAAAGGATTGCAAAGCAGAGGCGGACACAGCAGTCCAGAGCTGGGAGACAAAACATGCAGCCTAGAGCTGGGAGACAAATGTACAGGGCAGAGCAGTCCAGAGCTGGGGGACACATGTGAAGGGTTGCAAGCGAGAGGGGGGGAGCATGTAGAGGATTGCAAGGCAGAGGCGGACACAGCAGCCCCCAGACAGAGCAACCAGCTGGGAGACAAATGTTAAAGGATTGCAAGCGAGAGGCAGACACAGCATTGTGAAGGATTGCAAGTGAGAGGCGGATACAGCAGCCCAAACTGGGAGACAAATGTCAAGGATTGCAAGCGAGGGGCGGACACAAACCCGACTACAAGCACCCAGCTGAAAAGAAGTGGGAGGCAAAATGAAAGGAAGTGGGAGACAAGCCAGCCAGGAACCCGACTACAAGCACCCAGCCTCAAAGACAAATGAAAAGAATTGGGAGACAAGTGAAAAGAAGTGGGAGAAATGAAAGGAAGTGGGAGACAAGCCAGCCGGGAACCCAGCCCGGGAGACAATGAAAAGAAGTGGGAGACAAATGAAAAGAAGTGGGAGCCTGGCAAACAAATGAAGAGAACTGGAAGACAAATGAAAAGGAAGTGGGAGACAAGCCAGCCGGCAACCCGACCACAAACACCCAGCCTCAAAGACAAATGAAAAGAACTGGGAGACAAATGAAAAGAAGTGGGAGACAAATGAAACGAAGTGGGAGACGAATGAAAAGAAGTGGGAAACAAATGAAAGGAAGTGGGAGACAAGCCAAGGAAGTGGGAGACAAGCTGGCTGGGAACCCGACCAGACCATCCAGCACCAAGGCGACCATCTTTAAAGCATTGAGAACCCCTAACAGTAAACTGTTTGGGGAATGAAAAGAATGAACCAAGGCTGAGTCAAAAGATGTCAAAAGAGCTAGTCATCCTTGCTCATGCCAAGTTTAAATTCGTGCTGAGGGCATTTCTTGCCCCTGGCCTATTCCCGTCCCTGTGCAAAACAAAAGCAGGTTCCAATCAAAAGCTTGAAATGTAGGGCCAAAGATATGTGGCCACAGTAGTATAAGCGGCCACGAGCCAAGGTCAGGAGTGGAGGTAACAGTGGCGTATCTTCCGGCAAAAGGCCTGAAGTTGCTGCAGTGGAACTGAGATTGGCATGTAAAAACATGAGGAAAACCGGGAAAATTGTAAAAAAAACAAAGACGAACAAAAAGATGAACTGGTGAGATTTCAGATGGCTCCATGACGAGCTGTAGGTGTTCAAATGCCTGGGCACTTTGTAGCTGTGGACAGGACGGGTTCCGCTTCGTCTGTGGGCAAGACGGGGTCTTCAAGAACAATAGCGGCTATCGTGCGTGCGAAACGTCCGATTAGATAACTGGTTTGTTTGTCGTTCGTCCAGAAACGCTCCGCACGTCCGGTGGAGGCCATCGCTATTCGGGTGGAGGCCATTGCCAATTTTAATAGCAATGGTCTCCACCCGAATTGCGATGGCCTCTACCGGACGTGCGGAAGTCGTGTCGCTGTCAGAAACGCGGTTGACGTGACCTGGGGCCGGCCCCCACCAGTGGTTTCTGGCGCTTGCGAGGGGCCCGAGGGCTCAGTCCGCTCGCAGGAACAATCGAGAAGTGGTTCTGGGCATTCGTGGTACGACCACCCTGTCCGACGCGCTCACGGATGCCGTGGGAGAAGCCACGCAGGCGCCTCCAGTTCCGATGCCATGGATGCGGCTCTTGCGCAGTGGTAAGAAGTTTGGGAAAGAAGTGATGATGCAAATTGAACAGATTGGAGTTTGGAAGCACACACTTGGTCGTGTTTCCCCAGGTGATTGATTCGTTGATTTCCTAATTATGCTATTTAGATACTTTCGGACCAACAACGACAGCCCACCAAGAAGGCCTTTCCCATTCCTGTTTCCCAACCGACTCGAGGTTCCAGGCTGCCCTGGTCTACTGGCGCACAAAGCGATGTTGGTCTGGCCCTTTCGATCTACTTCAGGAAGACGACTGAGACGACGTGCCATTCTGTGTCGTTCGACAACGTGCCGTTCTGTGTCGAGGCCAGTGCACAGGCCGTTCTTGAAAAGACACGGCCTGCACTGGAACAAGCACTGCGTGATCACTCAGGTTGGGGATTGGCATCGACATGTCTGGTGTTTCTGCATCTGACTGACTGCTTCGAAGGGAATGGATGGATCCAAAGGAATCTGCACACCCTCATTCCCTCATTCACTAAGCAGTCAGCTGATTTAAGAAATGTTTCAGCATGTCGCAGCAATCTCTCATTCGTGGGCGCTTTGATGAGCTTTGCGGAGGTTTCTCCTTGGTCATCACTGGACACAGCTTGGGTGCTGGGACGGCGATTCTTTGCACTGTTCTACTGTCGGCAGAATGCTTAGAGTGAAGATGATACGTCTTGTGGGTGAACACCCTGAGTAGACTATTTCACGCGTTTCCTGGTCAGTTTGCTGAATGATTGCACTTTTTGACTATATAATACTGTATACTGGTTACCATGAACTGACCCCTAGCCCAAAGAGCCGCCCGGGGCAGCGCGCCGACGGCCCACCAGGTGACACCCTTGAAGGCAAGGCCGCGCATGAGATGCTTCGCCTATGCGCCACCACCTGTGATCGGTCCATTGGAGCACAGGAGTCTACGCGTTGCTTGGCGCACGACGTGGGTGGATGGGAGGATAAGGGTGAGGGGGCCGAACGCATGAACACATAAACGAAGGATCGAGGTGGTTTGAAGGAACTACCTGGACATCGTGGACTTGTATGGACTTTTTGGAGTCATTATGGATGTATATACAAGGGTAGATACTGTATAGTTCATTCGATGGGATACGATATGGCTAGTGACATGGATGTGTGTCCGAATGTAAAAAGAAGCAACGCCCCCATAAAGAAGAAACCAAACAAACCACCAAAGGGTCCAGTCCCCTTCATCATCCATCTGAGCGAATTATTGCGAGCTCACTTCGCGAGGTACGAGGTAGAATAATTTCAAAACAAAATTATGCGAGGTAAGTCCAGCACCAGGACTCCACCAAGCCAAGCAGCCTTCTTGACGTCTCAGGCCCTAGCCAGGCCTACTGGGTAAGGAACCTGTGCTGAGCAGCTCAAATAGGCAAGCCCCAAGAAACAATCCTATTTTGGCGAAATAGGATTTCATGATTGGGGATTGGTTTGCAGCCTTGTTGATGTTGTCTTAAGCCCTAGCCAGCCCCACTAGGTCAGGAAACTGTGCTGAACAGCTCAAATAGGCAAGCCCCATAAAACAACCCTATTTTG